ATCGGCATTTTACTTTCCTCTTTACCAAATAACAAAAAAATATTTTTTAAAATTTCACAAATTATTTTTTTCTGAATTTACACATTGTTGGATTGATTATATATAATCACCATTAAATTTAACAGATCGTGTTATCAATTTTCACGTAACAAAGTTGTCAACACAATTAAACGTTCAAATAAACAAAAAATATAACAGTGTTGATACAAAGGTAATTCTCAAATTTAATTACAGGAAGGATAAAACCCGCTTCTTTCTTTTTAACCGCTTCCTATCGATTTAATAGTTTTAAATAATTACATTATAATAAAAAGGATGATACAAATTACCACCTCGGACAGAAAAAGTCTCCACGAGGCATATTCAGCCTTCATGGTAAACAGTACTATGAATTTTATTATATTAATATTATTTATAATTATTAAATCGATAGGAAGCGGTTAAAAAGACGGAAGCGGTTTTTTAGCCCCCCTGTACACTCAAATAATGGTTGTTTATTACATTTAATTTATTGATTGTTAAAAATAATTTTTGTAAAATAATTATGATATTCATTAAAAGCAAAATTAACGATTGTTATTATTTCATTGTGTAACCACTTCGATGTACACAATTTTTATTCAACAACCTTATGTTGATAATAACATATAACAGAGTTGTTATAAACGATTATTTTTTCTTAACTATCGTTTTCTTATCATTAATATAAAAACACATAATTGAATATATATACCTTAGTAACACCACAACATTTATTATAATATCAAATAGGAACGTTAATCGATAATTAACTTCAATAATTTAATAACAATAGATGATATATTAGGTTTCACTGTTTATCACAATATTTTCATTTTTATTAAATGTCAAAAATAAAACGTGATAAATTTTAGTGTGTAAACACGTAACACCAAAGCCGAAATTAAAATTATAACACTAAAATTACTAGAATAGCACAGCTTAAAACATTTTTGTTTTTAATTTGTTGCTCTCTCACATATATACATAAGATATAAAAATAATCATTTTATTATCAAAAAGCAAAAGTAAACAATAAAAAAATATAAATTTGATTCCAGTTCTTTGTTGTGGTACATTAAGTTAGTAGTTTAAACAAAATGAATACACTTTTCATGATTGTTTAAAAAATAATTCTATACATATTTATCTATTAAACTGTATTTCAAAACTCTGTACCGTTTCCAAAATTTATAAAAACCCTTTGTCCTAATTTCCCATTATTTACTGTTTTTTATTTGTTTTATTTTTTATTTTCCTGTTTGTTGAACCAACAACGGTACACAGTTTAAAACCCTTAAATATCAATACAGTTTCAATTAATGAACCAAAAATCGGGAAATCACCCAAATATTGGGTAAATCTTTCCCGATTTTCCAGGTTCGTTATTTGGTCAGTGGTTTATTTTGTAACTAAACGTGAGTAAAACAACATATTTCTAACAAACACAAGATAAACGACAATAAACCAATAAACCAATGATGTAATGAAAACATCATTGCATTAAATAATACAACACTTTAATTAATAATAAGTTTTTGGTTATTTCAACAATT